GCACGTAATCTAAGGCAGCTCGGAACCAGGCGCCTCACAGACTTTTTCCGCTTGCCTGTCGACTTTAACTTCGACCCGTATCTTCCGATTGCGTTCACATCATTCATCTCACCCCGTGTCCAAACCCTTGAATTGGAGAACACGCAATCGCCCTCCGCCCTGATGGAACTCTTCCATACCTGGAGTTCAAATCCTTACCAGATGCGAATCTTAGGGGATTATGATTCAATGGTCCTTCCTAAAATTTATGCTTGTCTCGTATCGCCTAGCGTCAAACCCGTCGTCATTTCGCGTATTCTCGACATCGTTGATCATATTTTCACGACCCCAGATGAAGCCCGCATATCCAAGATCATTCGGCCCCATATTTCTCTACTCATCACCAACCTCACTACCTTGATCAAGGAAACCTCTCGTACTGGTACAATGACTTCTCAATTGGCCCAAAGACAAATTGGTATACTCCGAGCCATCTGTGACCATGTCACAGAGGAAGAGCAAGCAACATCGTTAATCGACCTCCTAGTACCTTCCCTTCGAAAACCTTCAAAGGTCGTACCCGAAACCGTCAAGGTAGATCTACTGCAAGCGATATGTAGACTTTTACTACTGCTTGATATCAGAAAAGACCGAACGGCCGCATTGACGTCTCAAGTCTTCGAAGCCACTTCGCAGATGCTACAAACTTTAAGAGTTCGGCAAGCTCGTCTTGCTGCCGTAGATGTCTTCATATCGCTGGCATCCAAAGATCCTAATGTTGCAAGAGTGGCCCCTTTGATCAAAGACTTGAACTCTTTTGATCCCCATCGGCCAGAGGAGCCCGATTTCGATAGACGAATTGCCGCATTTGGGATCTTGAACGAGGACCTGTTTGCCAAACTTTCCTCTTCCGAGTGGCTACCCTTGTTACATAACATGCTCCATTTCATTCACGACAGAGAAGAGCTATCCATTAGAGCGAACGCATCTTATGCAATACGTCGCTTTATTGAGATGTTGAAAGGCGGCCTATCCAGTGACAGACAACAGCTTTTCAGCAAAGTTCTCTTTACGGGGCTAAAGAATGGCCTTCGCACAAAGCACGAGCTCGTCCGTACAGAAATTATTGGTATAATTGGCTTTGCAGTCAAGGAGTGCCCCCAAAATCCCATCATATATGATATGGCTCCATTATTGGCCAACGGAGACGAAGAGGCCAATTTTTTCAATAATATCCACCATATCCAAATTCACCGTCGCACTCGAGCATTGCGCCGATTGGCTGAACAGTGCGATTCAAGTGCACTGCGGTCCTCAACATTAAACAATATTTTCGTCCCAATGATAAGCCACTTCATTGAAGACATAGCGTCAGATCATTTACTTGTCAATGAAGCGATCAACACACTGGCACACATCGCGCAAAACCTGATTTGGAGTCGCTACTACGCCCTGGTACGACAATACATGAAAGGGGTTAAAGAGAAGAACGGCTCTGAAAAGCCTCGAATACGTGGTTTGATTGCTGTGCTCGGGAGCTTTCACTTCACCATGGAAGAAAGGGTTCCTATCATTTCTGAGGACAATGATGATGACAGTGATGAAATTCAGGAGGAACAACTGAATCAGTCTTCCTCTAACAGTGTCAAAATCGCGGACGCTGTCAATAATCATCTCCTCCCCTCGCTCTTACGATTCATGGAAACACGTGAAGAAACAGAAGATGTTTTGCGACTTTCAGTGGCCATGGGAGTGGTGCAAGTAGCGATGCATCTACCCGAGGAAAAGCAACGACCTCAAGTCACACGTATAATCACAATTCTCAGCCAAGCTCTTAAAAGCAAGTCCAGTGAGACGCGAGATACCGCCAGAGATATTCTTTGCAAACTCGCGGTTGCAGTTGGTCCTTCATATCTTGTGGACATCATCAGAGAACTTCGTATAGCATTGACCCGTGGGCCTCAACTGCACGTTTTGGCCGTAACTTGCCACTCATTGCTCCATCATCTGACGACCGGAGAGGCTAGTCGAACCACCCCAATATCCTTCGATGATGTGGCGTCCAGCATGTCTGAAATAGCCGCTGAGGTGATTTTTGGCCAGTCATCGAAAGAATTGGTGGAAGACAGTAAGGCCACTATGCGGGAAGTGCGAAGTGCTTCGTCAAAGGGTCTCGATTCTATGACCATCCTATCACGATTTGTTTCACCTTCATCAATCAGCCATGTTCTGACACCAATCAAGTCTATTATGTATGAAACGGAATCAACAAAGGTCATGTCTCTAGTTGATGAGACATTGAAGAGAATATCAGGTGGACTCAATAGTAATACATCACTTGATCCGGCAGCCTTGCTTTCGTTATGCCACAGCTTAATCAGTCAAAACGCAAAGTTCTTGCAAGAGAAACTAGCGCAAGCTCGGAAAGAGAAGGGTAAAAACGCGTTCACGGTCCAAACGAAGAGGGACTTACCCCAAGCTCTCAATCACTATGCTCACAACTCCTATCGATTCGTGGTCCTAGGACTTGACTTATTCGTCGTCGCCTTTCGTCGCAATCGCTTCGATTTCAAAAGTCAAGATACTATTTCAAGACTAGAACCTATGCTCAGTGTGATTGGAAATACCCTTTATTCGGCTGCAACAGAAGTAGTCGTATTAGGCCTCAAAGCAGCAGCCGCCATCCTCAGAGCTCCGCTTAGCTCTGCATCCAAGTCTCTTCCTGTGATCATTCGTCAACAAGTCCAAATCATCAAACAATCAGGCAGTACCGAATCAGAGGTTGCTCAGGCAGCTCTCAAATCTCTTGCCGCTGTGCTCAGAGAGTGTACGGGGGCACAACTCAAAGAGAATGATCTAAAGTTCTTAATCCAAACTATGGAACCAGATCTAGAGGAGGTGGAGCGCCAAGCCGCTGTTTTCTCCCTCTTGCGGTCAATTATAGCCCGAAAGCTTGTGGTTCCGGAGATCTATGATATGATGGATAAAGTGGCCAGTGTAATGGTCACAAACCAATCGACTCAAGTCCAGGAAACATGTAGAAACATTCTCCTTCAGTTTCTACTAGACTACCCCCAAGGAAAAGGTCGACTGAGGAAGCAAATGACCTTCTTGGCTAGCAACTTGGGGTACATCCATGAAAGCGGCAGACTCTCAGTCATGGAAATTCTAACCGCCATGTTCAACAAGTTTGCACCAGGGCTACTCGAAGAATATGCGGAGCTGTTCTTTGCGTCTCTCGTTATGGTTCTCGCCAATGATGACTCTGCGGAGTGCAGAAAAAAGGCCGCAAATCTAATCCGTAGTCTATATCAGGTCGTTGGAAAAGAACCCAGATTGCACATGTTCGAGCGTTTGCATATATGGGCGTCCCAGGCTTCACCATCGCACTTGGCCAGTGTAGCGGCGCAGGTGTACGGACTGGTGCTCGATTCCTCTATTCAAGATATGCAGGGTCGGTTGCCAATTATCGTCCAAGATCTATATAAGATGCTTGAACGTGCAAGTCAGCAACAGGAGATCCAAGAGTCCTCACTTGATATGATGGAAATTGACCTCGACTGGCAAAGCCCTTACCATGCTCTTACAGTCTTGACCAAGATCGCAAAGTTGCCTTCTGATACAATCGACTTGATGGATGCCGAAGAGATATTTTCGTCAAAGCATGTAGTCGGGTTAATGCTTTTCCCCCACGCGTGGGTTAGGATGGCAGCGTCCCGTCACATAGGGACACTCTATTCACTAGACAAACAAAACAAGGGATTCGATTCAACACTCTCGGAGTACCATCCTGCATCTCCCAAAGGTATGATTGTGGTGGCTCAAAACTCAGCGATTCAACTTCAAAGCGAGAATCTGGATCAGCAATGGGCATTGCAGATAGTGAAGAACCTCGTGTACTTGGGCAAGGCATTTTATGGACACAAAGGAAGTGCAGACGCAAGCGAGATGGAGAATGGCGACTCATCGGAGGATGAATCAGATACTGAGTCTAATGAAGATACTGGTTCCAACAAGGTGAAGAGCATCGCAAAAGCACCGCTGCCATGGATGTTTTCCAGGTTATCATACCAGATCAAATCAGCTCACATTGAGCGTAGGAGTTCATTTTCTACATCTGTAAGTTTCCCCTTCCTATCATTCATCGCACACTAAGATTTCCACAGAAAGCCTGGCACCTAGCACCAGCAGCCATATTTCAATGGTTCGCTGCAATGACAACACACATGAATGCGGTCGACGTTGAGAAATACCTGGTCCATATTCTAACGCCTGTCTACCGAATATCAGAGGACGATACCACTCAAGGTACTGAGATGGGTGAGTGAACTCGTGAAATGAATTCGGCATAATGGTGATATTATAAACAGAAGAGCTCAAGGCTACTGCGAGCGAACTCCAGGATCTCGTCCAGAGTAAAGTTGGTGTCACAGCTTTCACGTCTGTCTATAGCCAGATTAGGCAGGGCGCTTTGGCTATTCAGCGAGATCGGAAGGCTTCACGCGCTATGCTGGTAAGACCGTTCATCTGTCCTTCTGAATGCTCGGTTCCTGATCCGATGTTCAGGCTGCTTCAAATCCCCAACTAGCCGCCAAGAGACAGGTTCACAGGAACTTGTTGAAAAAGGAAAGCAAGAAAAGAAAGTTCAACGCTTTCAGGTTCGCCTCCCTGTGTATTCTACTCACACAACTGACTCACTCGCATCCGGCAGAGAACGCAAAGGGTTGCCTTCCAAAAAGAGACGCATCGACTAAATCTAGTCACGGTCTTATGGACATGCTTTAAGTCTTATTGTTAATTCTATACTGAATCTAGACCTCGTTGAATGTCCTTCTCGGGTTGATAGTATTTACATCCTGTCGTGGAGCGACTGTTAAACCATCATCCCCCGCTAGTGCCATAGATCTAAGTGGGACTATTAGTTTATGTAATTTATCTTGAATGTGAGACTCACCCAGGGTTCTTGACTTGTTTGAAAACACGCTTCCGTGCGCTTGTTCTCAGTCTATAGTCGGCAGCACTCTCCTTCACCTCTTCGATTCTAGCAAGGTTTTCTTGCAATAATGACTCATTGGATGGTATTTTTGAGGCCATGTAACGCTTAATTGGATGACTCTCGTCTGCCTTGAAGAAACCTGCCTCGTTCAAACCCAGCAGTGTCACGAATGCGGCCCCTGTTAAAATGAATGGACGGCTTGTGAGAGCTTTATGAGCAATATTAGCGATCATGATCGGTATGGGTCCATTTTCGAGAGCTCTACACACTTTCTTTGGGATAGGTGAAGGGGTGAGGTTGTTCGTGGTGATCATCATGTGCATGTGAACTTGCAAATCTTCCCAGTTTCGGGGCAGAGCGAGCTGCACGACGTTGAATGGTCGTGCAGACCCGCCGTGCTGGAATTGAGGACATGGTCGAGTCGAAAGTTGAATCTATGACATGAGTACATCAAGCAGGACGTACGATGAAGCGCTCGAATGATTTATTATTTGTATTTGGATAATAGGATTAATTTGAACAGTATTAACATGCCATCCATATTGGTACTTTATTTACAAAGATAACAGGAGAGCTGCCATTCCTGCAGTATAACCCACGGTACCTATGATCATTCTCAGGTTGTGGAGACCCTTCCATCGAGAAATGAGATCTTTAACATCCGCATTGGAAGCCTTAAGTGTGCCAGCGTCCACATCCTGGTTCAGCTGCAGCAATTTCTTGTTGGTTGGCGTCATAACAAGGAGAGTAAAAGCTGCAACCCCGATAGATGCCAACATAGCTGTTATTAAAGGGGTTCTTGAGACAGAGCCGGGGCGTGCATAATATGCAGCTAAGAGATAGGAAGTGGCGGCCAACGCAGTGCTTCCTCCGAGATGAGCCTATTGGACAGGATGAGAATAAGAGCCCGACAAATGATGATAACATACCTTTCCAACTTCAAAGTTCAATCGCCAAGACTTGAGCTTTTGTTCAGGAGTCAGAAGCATAGCGGATTGCTCCGACAAGGGTAAGGTGCCCCCATATTTAGCGAATAGATTTCCAAACAGGAAGTAGGAGGAGAATCCCACCCCAACTACGGAAGCTGCTGTAGAAGGCTGGGAGAGAATTGTAGCAAGAGATGATACGAAAGACATTGGCGAGAGGGAAGGCCTTTGAACCGTTGAGTACTAAGTTTGAAAGTAGAGATCCAGATGAAAGACCTCTTTTATGGCAAAGAAACCGCCGAAAGAAACATCCGACCACGCGCGGCCTGCCGAGTCGCAGTCCGCAGAGGTAACATCTTGCATCCTTGCCTGGTTCGTGTGATTGTGGGGTTTGACGAACGATAGATTTGGCACTGGCTGTCGCGTTCAAGGCCCATTGCGGTCCTGAGGCCTCGATATGTGAGGGAAGCAGAGGGGCTTCCAATAAACCCCTTTACCTCGCTTTGATATCCCTGCACATGATTCAAAACACAGAGACTGTTTACCCTTTATACTCGCAGCTTAATAGTCGTTCGTAGCTGGAGAATATAATTATGATAATTTGCACGTAGGGTGGGCAGCTCTAGAGTTCTATGAACGCTGCTGAGATCTTTTGGAGAATTTTCATAATGGGTACTCTAGCTCTTAGTGGTACATATCAGACAAACCGAACTCTGCCGTGTTTCCGAATACAAAGATGTATGCGCTTCTGGGTTCCTTGCCAGTTAGAGTAAACTGCCTTTGATTTGAGAGCTAAAACAGATTTCAAGCACACCCAAGTTATACGAACAGTTGAGGTGCCGTAGGATTACATCAAGAGGAATAGGCATAGGTAGAATCCTCCAATGGATATTGAGACCGACTGTGCGTGTTCAGATAAAGACTGGCAATGTTGGGTTCAAACCCATCCAGTCGGCATTTTCCCATATTCCCTTCTCGTCAATCAAGAAGTCTAGAGGAGCTTCTACCAAATGTCCGCGGACTTGTGCCAAACGCTGCTTGACTCTGTCCAGGGATTGACCGGGGGGAAGATGACCGGCTCGAGTCTTAGGTACATAGTTCTAAGAAAAAAGGTGATTAGCTCATCTAGATCAAACGTGGTCCCCACATACCTTGTATTGTTCAAAGTTTCTGACTGTATCGGATGGCACCGTCTTGAACAGTTCGGCGAATATAGCCCTGTTGCGAGCTGCAGTTCCATTCCACAAGTCCTCCATTTCTATGGACATCGGATCCGCGACCAAGGTATCTTCAGGCAAGCCGAACTCATCCGGATTTGGAGTAGGGGCGGGTTTCATGAAATCGTTCTCGACACCAACGGGTTCTGGACTGATCAGTCCGAGATGTTCTACGGAGATGTCAGTTTGGGGCAATTTATTGGCAGATAGTTTGTACCTCTGTAGAGCTTCCGACGCAGGGACGTCGCAAACCGTGCGACCTTGTACTAAAGCACAGTTAGGAGGGTATAACGCAGAATGATTGGTCACATACGGGTTCTCCATCCATGCGACCGTCTATCATGTCTGTATCTTCAACGACGAGCGCAATCTCGCTATCTCCATTACCTTTCTGGGATCTACTCATAGTATTAGAATGGCCGGATATGATTGTATTCGGTTCATACCTATCGTTGATATTGGCACTTCCGCAGATGACGCGGCGGTCGTCGACAATCATGAGTTTGGAGTGAATGTACAGTATTTCAGAAACATAACTAAATAACACCTCAGTAAATCCAAAGGCACCAGAATGAAACCAACGTTACCTCTCATATTCCTCTTCATCCGTACCAAGCCATTTCTCTTGCAAAAGATTTGTGTCATCCATAAGAGCGTGATGCGCAATAGAATCTGATACACGATGATCATCGCGAATTCCAATAGCACCGGCTTCGAACTTCTCGATAATTTCCACAGCTTCCTCAACCGTCTCAGGGTATTTAAGGGCCTCGACCTTTGTTTTCGTCTCCTCAATGATTAGACCTTCTTTAGTTGGGTCGGGTTGTTTGATCGAGACGTTCGGCTGAGTCCACACTTCAGGGACCCCAATCCATTGCTTAGCTAAGGCCACCTGTGCCTGGTGGAATGTCACTCCGCTGTTTTCTTCCATCTCCCTGATGAAAGATGGCCATGGGGCATTGATACGGTCGTAGGATCGTAAATGGTAGAATCGAATATAATCTTTCCTGCAAGCCTATTCAGTAGTTGCCAATCAAGAGCATACACAACTGACGGTTCGTATCCAGCCGCTCGAATTTCTTCCTGTAAAACGATAAGCGTATATTGAACCCTAGGAAATCTGACATACGTAGATAGAATGCCCTCCTCTATTGATGGTCCTCCAAGTTGCAGCTAGAATCGTTTTGAGATCACTTCCTTGGCTTATATCTCCAGCAAACCCTGCATAGCTCGATAAGACGAGGATTAGTAACGAAAAGAGACGTACCGGGAACTTCTGGCAGTAAGACAACGACTTTGAACCGTTTTCCTTCTCTTGCAGCTCGAAGGATTCTTTCGACCAAGGCCTGTGCAATACGATTCTGAACCGGACCATAATCACCAGTGTTGGAGATACTATGACCGTAAGATTAGAACGTGAATTTATCTCTTAAAAGGAAACGAACAAGAATTGATTCTCGATGTAGATATAGTGTTCTGCCTCGCGAATAAGCTCTATATCTATGATGACGATCAGTCTAGCACGATGGGAATGGTCTTATACCTACAAGCGGTTTGGATGCTCGATTCTTTCAATACTCCATGGCTCCAATCAGAGCAAGAGCGGACTGCCTGGACTATACATCCACCGTGCGGCTCGTCATGAGGGTGATCATCCTCCTGAGGTTCCCAGTCGGGTCCCTTGTGGAAGCGTTGCCTGAACCTTCTGCCTTTTTCAAGCCATTCGTCGCGATGACGGAGACCTGCGGGGGTAATTTAGAATACTGAGAGATGATTGGTTGGATTACTGACGAGCTACCGGCTCATGGGGAGCCACACTGGTATCGTGTGGATAAGTAAGCCAGTCGTATCGTCTAAGGAACGTCGTTAGCCGAGTGTAAGAATGTATTGACTATGGTTCATACGCGTTGTCCTTGTACTTTCTTAATTTGAGTTCATTCCATCTTTCAGTAAAGTGCTGCACGATATCAAGCACAGCTGGGCCGACAAGAGTCATATGGACCTGAGAGTCTTTGAGCACAAACCGATTCATAAGCTGGCTACTTACATCGTGCCATGGCATTCTAGGTGTCTGTATAAAGGGTTAAATGTTGGTATATTCGGTGAGAAAAAACTTGCCTGAAGAAGAGACACGGCATTGTTGGTAAAGTGGTCGACTTGTTGGAAGCTAGTGGTCCCGTTTAGAAGAGATCCGACCGTTTTATAAAGAACTGCCTACTCTATGACCCTTGCGTTGTTATAGTCCTGTCCCGGGAAGAGAGTCTTGAAAAATTCGGTAGGATGGGCGTCGGCCAATGGACTAGACAGTTGGTCAATAGATATATTCAAAAAAAGCTGGAGACGGACTGTGAGTGGGTATCCCAGCGACCTGCAATGATTACTTAGAAATGCCATATCACATCATAGTTGACTCACCAAAGCACAAGTCCAAGCCACCAATACTTGCGTAATGGTTGTCCACTATAACAACCTTTTCATGGTGACTCCAGAAGCGAGTTGAGTCGACTATAATTGGCTAAGTTTTCATGTGGTGAGATGCATTTTGTGACATACTGGTTCCAATATGATCAGGATGTCGCTGCAAGATGTCAGGGATCACCAATACAAAGTAGATATAAGTACTTACAATGACGGCGATATTCTCATGAAGCTCATGGAAATGATTCTGGAAACATTGAGAAGAATTGTATGCCAATAGTCAGGAAACGTACTTTAGTGTGACGTGAGCTCATGTTCATGCCCTGGGTCACTTCCTGTACAAGGATTGAGAAAGCTGTTCTCAATACAACCAAGGTCATAGGACTTGCCTTATATACCAAAATATAAACCTTGACCCCTTCCTGGGCTCTGCGCTTTATCACTTTGTCGATCCTCCATTCTGGGTACCGCGCCGGAGGGCGGCGAAGGTACAACTCTATGAGCGTCCAGTCAAAACACCACACAAACCGTCTGCCACCCAAAATTCATACCAGGGGAAAGCCACCAGTCTTGAATCATAATGCATTCCTTTGCGGACTGTAGAATACCACTTTTGGAATACAGGCTATTTGTAGACATTGGAGCCACCCACCTC